GCGATCCATTTGTTTATGAATACATTATCTTCTTTTACGAAGAAATGCCTGAGTGGACAATTTCGAACCAGAACAATCCCACTCTGTGATCGGATCGGATTCGAAAGACCAATCGTAGAATAATGAGAAGTAAGACTAGACTTGCCTGGGGACCAATAATAGGTGAAGTACGATACGGCCCTGATAGTCACTCTCCAACCATGGTGGATCAACCGACCAACCATCGACACGCTTGAGGCACGACCAGCGTGCTATCGACACCAGGTTACCTGCAAAAATTACTGTCTCGTCCCACACCATTGACTTTCTTCTTTTTATTCACTTTGCAAAGTTAGCTGATAAAATATTGCAAAATCTATATTTTTATTATTGCACCCCATGAGGAATTAGTATGCACCCATTTTAGAACAATTAGGAGTTGCAAGCCTGCTACGATTATTGTGGATAAGGTCAGGATAAGTTAGATAAGGTGTAACATCCACGCCCGATTCTCAAAAAAGAGCACCCTTTAATCCTACGAAACGCTCTCTGTAACGCAGAAGCAAAGAAAATTGGTGTTTTGCTGTGGATAGAAAGTTTCTTAATGGAACTGGCTACGGTGACATTTGCGAAAAACTTCTTGCTATATTTCTATCTTTGTTGCTCTGTGTTGAGTTGCAAAGGTTCTACTTGACCTAACAAAAACGGCACATTCACCGCACTTTATCGTTTTCTTTTCTCCCCTTTTCCCGTGATCCGAAGCCTCAATCAGCCGAAAGGTACAAGAAAGACCAATAAAAAACTAGATGTCAAAATTGTGGGAGAGCAAAACGTCGAGGAATGGAGCGCAATACTCGTAAAGTTAGCCTATAACGCCGTCTCGACACACAGTGACCTTGATGCCTACTCATAACTACTTCGTGATCCAGCTGTATTACCACTCTCTTCTATCTACATCTCTACGCTGAAGGTAGTGGTACATCCTTAGTAAGAGGAATAGTATTTAACAGGCTACCGCTTTCACTTTCAAAACGACCTGAAACGATAATAGTCAAATGAATGTTCAATACTTAAGAAGGCGAGGGCAAGCGTGGTCTCGGTAGTGTAAGGGATAAGAGCACGGTCCCCGGAAAGGACAAGTACGGGTTCGAGTCCCGTCCGAGCCTGGTGTTTTGCCCACAAATCGCCACTCTTGTGAGACTTTCGCTTCGCGTACTGCGGCGGTAAAACAGCAGTTAACAAAACATCAAGTCAAGTCAAATGAAAGTTCAATACTTTCCCTATTCCGACTTTTTGCAAACCACCCACAAACAATTCCAAGCAACATTCCAGGAATCATTCAGCCGCCTCTCCTCTTCGCTCTATAACCAGTGTTAGAAAGGAAGTGTTAGAAGAAAAGGTGCCCCCCCCTCCCCCCCGTCAACAACATTTTCATCCAATGCTATTGTAATGGTCACAAATTGTCATGATAAATTCTTCTGAAGAAATATTTGTAGTCGATCGTACGAATTGAGCATGGCAACTTTGCAAATTGCAAACATTTAGTAGTGAAAGCGAGTTGACAGAAATCTACAAGTACTCAAACAAGCACAATTACGAATGACAAGACCAAATGACCATCTTAATTCAACTCTAAAAGGTACATTTACAATAACAAATCAAAGTTATGCAACATAGCAATAGCTGCGTTATTTCGGAATGAATTCGTACATAAATCTCACATAAGCATGAAATAATCCCTCATTTAAGAGATTACCCGGTAAGATAGTGCGTTAAAGTTACAAACTGAAGAAATCAAACATACTCGAGTTTGTGAAAATTTCAAGTATTACTAGTACATTCAAGGGTTACTACAAAGATATTCAAACTACTCGGTAGAGCTTTGAGTGACTTGAGAAGCAGATGAAGCTGTTGCGGTTGGTTCAGGTTTATGTATAATCGGTAATTTTGCCATGGTCACTATCCATGGATGGGCCAAAATCCCAGCAATGGATAACCTGAAATGCGAATATTGAGGGTAAGATCTTCATTATTTGGTGGAATGTCCAACTAACCTCATACACGGTTCCTTCACGACTAGCCTTCGTATCAGATCGGTGGGTCCTGCACTAACAAAGGAAGGAATCTAAAACGGTACAGTAGTACTTTCAAACGAGTCTCTCTACTTTTTGTTATGTCTGTGTCTGTCTTTTACCATTTAAATCAGGAAGTAGGGAAAAGCACGATAAGCCAAAGAAAACATACCACAAGAATGACTCTTCCTGCAATCTACAAAACCGATTTTTGTTCAGTGGAACAAAGAAAACGACAGAATGAACTCACAGCGAATCTGCACTTCATAATTGCTTGCAATGTTGCGGCTTGATCAGGATATTCAAAAGGAGGACGACCAACGAGCATTTCGAAAAGCAACACACCGACAGCCCAATTGTCCACCTGGAAACCACAAAACATAACCATAGATTTTCTACTAAAATACGAAGCTCATCTTTCACCATACCTTAGGAAGGCATCATGAAAACGGCAGCAGCGTGCCTTTAACGCTGTCAAGCCCTAGTTTCTCCTAACAGCCAAGGATCCACTATGCTACATTAGCTGGGAAACAATGCAGAAACCCGATGATGAGTTAATATTGATAGTGGCTCTCCATCTTCACCCCTTGGATGACGTAACCCTGATGTTATCACTGACAGGCTTACTTCGATACATCCTGTGTTCAAAACCGAATGTACTGTATGATCCTAATGCCAGGCACGTATCTAGATGTCACTTTGCAATCAAAAAAAAANAAAAAAAAACGAAGAAAAAAAAGACGTAATGCTAAGGCTTACGGTAAGCGGAGAAATGGAATCACATTCCTCTTTTGTGATTTCCTGTTAAGTAGAAAGCATAAGAAAGCTTACATGATTTTTAAAAATTTTCACACCCCAATCAGCACATTCTATCACGCACGGAACCAATATAGTCACTGTCACTACCATTAGTCAAGGTGTGTCGCACTTTCTCACTGCTCCAAAGTTGAAGAAACTTACGGTGGAGTCGTGGGTGTGTCCGCTGATCATCTCTGGTGGCAAATAATCCAGGGTTCCGCAAATCGTTTCACGACGTGAGTGGGCAGAAACAACTGCCCATCCGAAGTCTGCTATCTGCAAATCTCTCACTTGATAACTGTCCAGAATACCAATGTATTGGGCCTCGAAAACCGCGCATTCCTGATAACCATCTGATACATGTTACTGGATTATTTCGTATTTTTCATGATTTCTGATTCTAATGGCAAAGGCCGATAGCAGGCCCCGAAATGAGCAGGCGTGAGCTCTTTGTTATAAAGAAACAATTGTGCACATAAAAATGGAGGAAAAAAANAAAAAAATTCTAGAAAGAACTGAACCATCAGCGAAGCTTTTCTTCAAGTACGACTGTGATAATTACCTATATATTCCAAGTTTTCTTACCTTGAGATTGCCTTTCCCATCAATAAGTATGTTCTCCGGCTTTATGTCACGATGAATTACTTGCTTATCGTGGCAGTAGGCGAGCGCATCAGCAAGCTGACGAACATACCTAGATAAGCTCACTTTAATTTGATCAGAAGAACAGTTTATATAACTTTTCAAGCATCAAGCAAACCACCAAATAATACCGAGCTGCTTCTGGTTCTTCAAGCTTCCCTTTCTTCTTCAGACGAGTATATAACTCTCCAGCTTCGGCATACTCCAAAATAATGTACACGCGTTGTTTGTCGTGAAAGAATCCTTTCAATCGCAAAATGTTTGGATGCCTTAAAACGAAGCTAATAAACAACAACACTGCTATATCTTCCTTTTCACAAAGGAAGAACGTAATCAGTCCTCGTTCTCACAGTAGATGATGCTGGATTTCAATTTCCCGTACTACTTGATGGACAACATTATGTTTCCTAATTTGCTCCTTGAATAGGACCTGAAATGTTGGATTTGCTATATATGTATGTATATATACGGAGGAGTGAAAGAGAGCGAGCAAAGAAAATAATGTCCCTCTGAAGTTAGATTATTTTTGAACATTACTGAACTAGCATCACGCAAGTATACCGGCAAGCAGAACTGATTCTAAATTTCTATTCTGAGTTTATCAAATTTGAGAGAGACCTCATAAGCAGAATGCACACGAAAATTGCTTCAGTGTATAATGTTGAAAACGAAACTAGGGAAAATACGCAATCAGAACCAAAAAACTCATTAGAACTAAAGGACTCGTGTTCTACTCTCCTCTGTAGTTTCTACATTAGCTTGTACGAAAAGTGACTGCTGAAAATCTCACAATAGACCAGAATTCTGCTAGACTTTCTGGGAGCTTCCATAGAAATACTTCAAAAGGACGCTACTCACCAACATATCCATCTGGTAAACCGAGTGCGATATAATGAAATCTCCTGATTTCATGATAATGCAATCGGTTTACCAGATTAAGGTTGGGATGCACTTTCAGAAGGAGGATGATTTCACGTAGGCATAACCGATAACCATTTTTGAAAACACTGCCTGTCAAAGCGGTCTATGAGGAAAAGCTTCGGAGGTCTATTTTTTTTCGAACATTCGTAGTTGTTGCTTTACGAAAATTGATAATCCTACCTTTAGTGCAACAATGGTGCGCTCTGCCTTATAACGAGCGAGAAAAACAGAGCCAAATTTTCCCTTGCCAAGCGGTCGCCCAATATCAAAATCGTCGATCGTCCACATTTTACGGGAACTAAAATATGCGGTATATAGATAAAATGACCACTGCCCTAGATTTGAAAAAGCAACTCGAGTAAAGAGAACCAAAAATAGATTCATACATACCTGGTTTGAGTAGGTTCGGCCGAAGAGTTCACCAAACCGGTAGCGACTACATCAGAATTGGTCTAAAAATTTCAGTAAGAACAAGCTAATCTTGTTCAATCTAGCGTATCAAACTACCTGATGTTGCGTTTCCTGCACAGGGATCGATGTTGCAACGTCAGCCATCTGAAGATGATATGAAATGAATACTAAATCGGAAACTCAACTCGAAAATAAGTAATTTCAGTACATAGCCTGGGAAGCCTTTGACATTTCTCTCCTCTTCTGCCATAAATAGAGCAAAGGAGAACACCTGTATGTAAGGGACCACCAGAAAAGCGTCAAGCCCAACCAAGCTCTATGAGCTTACCCAAAAAATGAAACCTCCACAACCATCAAGGAAAAAATGAGCGGTTCAAATGATCTCACCGATATAAAAATGGGAATTCCCGCCGCAATCGTAGAAATAGCAGTGGGACGCAAAATAGCCGTAGGTCGCGACACGCTTTGGGCTTCAAGCAGTATGTTGGTCTCCTGCGGAAAACGACTAGGTAATGCAAATTCTTCGGTCTGTCCGTTTGCAGGGAACTGGAATACTAGACAGAGAGTCGAATTAATCAGGATTAGGAGCAATTTTCCAATTTCTTAGCCGGGAAGCAACGACTTCGTTTGTTTAAAAACTTCCCCATGATGTCATTTGATGCCCTCTATTATGGTTCACGAGAGCACTCTATATTTTCAGCTTTTTATTTGTTATTTTACATCTACTAAAGGTATTACAGGTGAACGTGGGGGAGTACCTAGTTGCGTTCTATCACACGCATGGCCCAGGTATCGAGTCCCGGCTCAACGTCCGCCCAGGCCACTCAAGCTTCCCTCCCTCCAGGATTGACTTTTGTAGGTAAATAGAAGTGCAGACTTATACGTCGACTGACCACCTTACTTTGTTATAGATGCCTTTCAAGCATTCAAAGGCAAATACAATAGTGAATGGTAGTCGAATGTGAGGCGCATTCCAGAAACAGGATTTCTTAACGTCAGTCTTTCGCCTTCGAACGAACACTTGGAGTAGTCGGAAATGGAACAAAGAGAAAGGTATTTGCGTCTTTTTGCAACTCTTGCCTCCGCTCCGCTTCTGGGCACTTGTCCACGTGTAAATCCTAGTGATACTTAACTGAACAGTTCTTTCGGCACGAAAAAAACCACCCAAGCTGAAGTGAGTGGATATCTATACTAACGCGGGTAAAACGTGTTGCTGTTCCGTTGAAGAGCCTCAGTTCGGAAGGACGTTCGACGTCAAGCCACTCCAGAGCTTTCCGAGTTCTGCAGTATTGCCTCCTTGCGATCTTCAAGGGTGCAGTGCTTACTGAAGCCAGCTTATCTCTGAGGATTAAAAACCGAAAAACTGGCCACATTGTGTGCATATGGCTTTTCTCAGGCTTTTCTCTCGCTTTGGAAGAACCTTTCCTTTTGGCATGATATCAACAGTAAATGCGTTAGGTAAGGTACTGCGAGTTTGTTTGATACTTGCAATCAGGTCTGACGGACACTTCTGCCCTTGATAATATTTTCATCTTTTGTTATAATCTATAACCACATTCAAAGTTTCATTTACTAATTTTCCCGTGAAGAATGTTTGAAAGGAATGACCCTTCCAAATATACTTCATAAACAAGAGTAACCATATGTTACGTTAATGATCACGCAACACATGTATTTCCTTATAGCCATCTCTGCAATGCTTTAGCCGTATAGACGTGATCATCTGCTTGCAGTTACTTAATTTTTACGATTGACGGCTAAAAGGAATTCTTGGTATTTTAGATCTTTGAAATCGTGTTTGCCAAAACCTACTTTAGCACAAGTGCAATGAAGACCACAAGAAATGCATTTAAAAACCGCACACTTGATGCAGATTTATGCGCACATCCTCCGGTTGTTGTTATAAAGTGGAAAGCGTTGTTATTAATAGCAATAGTAATGTAAAAGTTAATAAGTATTGTTGCACAGCCAAGAGACATCACATGAGCTCAAACGGGCACTTGCAAGATTCTCGTCAAAGAGAATATAATTTAAGCGCCTTGACGAAAAGTAGGAAGAACAATTTACATACAACAGAATTCAAATATGTGAGATGGAAGTTGCAATGATTATTGCTCGTCCTTGTCCTTGGTCCCATGCTTGAGCATGCGCGTGAATTCAACGTAGTCAAAGTATCCATTCTTGATCGGAGCATCACGGAACAACTCGTCCACCTGAAAGACTTTTAAACATTTTAGGAAAGACAATTCTAGCCGAATTAAAAACGGAATCAAATTCAAGATAAACTCCAGCTGGTCTGAAGAGATGCTAAAAACTTCACTTAGTTTCAGGAAACTCATGTTACTCTCATCTGAATTATAAAATTTCAACGAGTTCAACGATATGTTCCATATTAACATTAGAAACGATTTTTTCCCAAATCTCTTAATATTGACCTTAATCTCTTGAACTTGATTTATTAGAATTGTAACCTGAAGTTTTTACTCAAAAAGAACAAAAAACATATTGAAAAGAAAGTGTGAGGTTTACTCTAACCTGCTCATGAGTATAGCGATCACCCATTGTGGTGAGAAGTTCACGAAGGCGATCTTCGGTTAGTTTTCCAGAATTGTCCTCGTCGAAACATTGAAATGCATTTCGTATTACTTCCTCAGGATCAGTGCCTGCAGTAAAATTTAGGTTTCGAATTTCTGGCGCTCGAATTCATGGCACTTCTAGCAAAGACGAAATGCTTACCAGTAAGTTTTTCACCAAAAAGGGTCAAGAACATAGTGAAATTGATAGCTCCTGGTGCTTCATTGACCATGGCGTCAAGAAATTGCTCATTGACGTCCTTGCCTACAATTTACTATTCGTTCATTGAATAATACCTCTGGCAGTACAGGTTCTGACAGCCACTAAATCTGATCATTAGTTTTTCTGTACCCGAGGAGGTACAAAAGAAGGAAAAGACAGCACTAAGAACGCTCGAAAAGAAAAAAGAAATTGCAATCCTTTGAAACCAAAAAAAGTTATAAGACAATTAATGTGCATACAGAAACAGAGCTGGTGCAGATTGGCGTATTAGTCTAGTTAATAAGAGTTTTTGTAAATGTTACCATGGCACTATTTCACCCATTCCAGCAGATCCTTGCTATATCAGCGAGTTAAGGAAAGCAAACAAATCGAGATCCCTTTTCGGCAATTCGGTAAATGACTATCACTTACGAATGCCGGCATACTTTAGGTGAAATTCAATAGACCCTCACCTTAACGGGGCTGGTACAGAAATACCCTCAGGAATACTTAGTAAGGGTGGAATCAAAAAAGAAAACTGGCATAAATGATTCCCAGATGATGGAGCCAGCGCGATAAGCTGGCAGAGGTTACGGCATCCTTTGCTCAGCCTCTCAAATCACTACTTGACATTAAATACCCCTGATTCTGAGGAAGTATGGGCATAACCCCTAATTTCAAACAAATCCTTGACTAGATCGACCAGTGTGTTATGATGAAGCTGAGGATGGGTATAGCGCCTTCAACCCTCTCGCAATTCTTAAATCATCTTACTCCAACAATAACTAGCTCCAAAGTTTCCCCTTCACACAATTCACAATTCCTTCATACACCAAAAAGTTCCCATACCTAAAGATGCAAACATTTCTTGCAGATCCGCCTGATCGATAAATCCATCCCTGTTCTGGTCAATCATATTGAACGCCTCTTTGAACTCCTAGAACAAGACAATTAAATCTAATCCAGGCGGGAACGAGAAGAAGCAGCGCACCGAACGGATTTACCTGAATCTGCGCCTGATCAAACATGGCAAAGACGTTGGAAGTGGCACGCTGAGGCCGCTGGCGACGATTCACTGTCTTTCGTGAGGCCATTTCTGCTACAAAACAATAAACAAATTTCTAGAAAAAGAATGGGTTCAAATCTATGAGCGCAACATGACAAACAGATAAAATGAAGTCATTAATGTTCGTGTTCATTGAAGGCGCCAGAGTTGTTCACGAAACTTGGCCTTCTTTCAATACCGAAAATATGTGAACTTTATGCTCAGCTGCAGGAATATGTTTCACATAAGAACAAGGAAAAGACCTACGTCACTCCCACACTGACAAAGCATAGGACTGCTTCTGATGAAAAGTGATGTGAATCATTTCTTGGTGACTTTTTTATAAACTAATCTTGCAAATGCATGTCTTATAAACGGTTTGCGATGGGGATGTCTCCTAGTTGTGAAAAGTTGTGAGCGAAATGCCTGGCCTTGTATG